ATGCATACAGAAAGGGGCACTCCACAGCTACGGCGCTAACCCAAATGACTGACGAATGGCTGAAAGAAATAGACGCAGGCAAGATAGTTGGTTCTGTTTTACTAGATTTCAGTGCCGCTTTCGATATTCTTGACCATAGATTATTAGTGAATAAACTGCGCTGTTATGGTTTTGATAGGGGTTCTGTTGCCTGGATCAATAGTTACCTTATAAATAGAAAATACTGTGTTTACTTTAATGGTGGTTTTTCAGAAATGAGGCTTATGAGCTGTGGAGTGCCGCAAGGGAGTTGTTTAGGGCCACTTTTATTTTCAATATTTATAAGTGATTTACTTTTAATTCTAAACCATGCTTCCATTGCTATGTACGCAGATGACTCAACCATTCATTCAGCAGCGTCGACACCAGGAGATCTTGAAAAGGTTCTAAATGAAGAGCTAGTACTGATTAGGAAATGGGTTAACATAAATAAATTGGTACTTAACATAGAAAAGACAAAATGCATAGTATTATGCTCTAAACGGGGAGGGAGGGTAGAGCTGAAACTGCAGTTAAAAGTAGATGATAAAGAAATAGAACAGGTCACAGAAGTTAAGCTACTTGGTGTGCTGATTGACAGCCAAATGTCCTGGACAAGCCAGATAGATGACATGTTGAAGAAAATGGGTAGAGGGACGGCTGCAATTAGATATCGTAGGACATATTTACCAGGATGCTTGATTAAACAATTAATGCAAGCCTTAGTCCTATCTCAGTTTGATTACTGCACAGTCACATGGTCCAACACATCAGAAAATAATCTTAATAGGCTACAGGTAGCTCAAAACAAAGCTGCTCGTATAGTGCTCAACTGCTCATACAGAACTAGAGTATGTGAGATGCTTAATAAGTTGAATTGGTTACCAGTTAAAAGAAGGTTACGCTACTCTCTTGTCAGTTTTGTTAGAAATATAATAACAGCAAAGAGTCCTGTTAGTTTATTTAATAGCTTGATGTTTTCTTATAATAGACACAAATACTCTACATGTCAGTCATCAGAGAGGAGATTTCTGCTGCCTCCTTATAAGACAGGGGCTGGACAGAGAACACTGCACTACAGAGCAATGGTAGCATGGAATTCTTTACCACGTTTTAGTAAGATTGCCTTTAAAATCAAATTGAAATTGTATTTGTTTACACAAGGTGTTACATGAATTTTTTTCTTTTTTTCTTTTAAAAGAGGCTATGTACTTTCTTTTGGACCTCATAAGTACATAAGGGTTCTCAGACTATGAGTTGATCAGAATATAACCAACTTAAATCAAGTAATGATTTTCATTTCCTCTTTTTATTTAATGTTTTGTTTGTGTTGTATGCTGTATGAATGCATGCTTGTATGTCTAAAAATGATATGCAATTTGTAATTTTGACCACAGGAAGAACAGCACTCGTCTGTGTACGAGATAGCTGATTGTGGATCAATAAACAATTCAATTCAATTCAATTCAATGTCCATTAAAAGTGGTTATTTTTGACACAGAGCAGCTCAGGTTGTTATTATAACGGTCTGAAGTGTCTCTTTACCTTTCACTTGATCCAGTTTGTTTGTTATTGCCTCCTTAAGCAGAAGTCTCTTTCTGAAACATCACAAGATGTGTGTGTGAGATTTGGAGAGCATATAACAAACGGAGTAGTTTATAGAAAATGTATTTTAGTGTTGTCTAAAAGATTTTCAATATAATGGATGATTATTTACCTGATTTCAAAAGTGGCTCAGGCTTTTGTATTCAGCCAGTTAAAGTGTTTATTTTGCTCTTACATATTAACTATTCCATACCCACTGAGTGCACAGTTGCCCACGTACAGTTTCACATGGTGTGTGTTTGGGATACAGGTCATAGGAAATTGCAAATTAAATAGTCAACTGAACCCATTAATAAGAGCAATGTATTCAGACAGAGTTTTTGTTAATTTGATAGTCGGATTGCTTTATTGAAAGTACAGTAGTACCACTGCCAATAGTGGGATAGTTAGTGGGCTAAAACTGTACATTAGTAGCTGAGGGAGCACGTTGAAAGACAGATAGCTCAAGTGTTTATATGTTGTATTGACTTAAAAGTGGGGAGCACTGGTAGAGTGACTGATAGACTGACAGAATGACACACTGCCAGTTTCCGTGATTATGTACAGCATACCATACCATTACTTAGTTATACTGAAAATTAGAAGAAAAAAAAACATTCGGCCACAGGTGGAGCCACAGCGATCGGTCGCATTTTAGCCATTTTTAAGCATTTTTCTGTTGTTATAGCGCCACCCTTTTGCCAATTAGAATTTCTCCAGTCACCTTGAGGCGTCCTGTTCTACATATCTACCAAGTTTAGTAAAAATCGATATGGCGGTTAGGCCTAGATAAGAAATTAGCTCTCTAGCGCCCCCATTTTGTTTGATGGGGTCAATAATGGAGGGGTCCCCACAGATTATGTGTGGTCATATGCCTACAAAGTTGTGTGGTGATTGGTGAAACCCTTGAGATGTTATACACCTTTGTGTGATGAGCCACGCCCTCTGCAATATTTATTGCCTTATAGAAACTCAGTTTTAGTAAGTTTTCCAACTTTTGCCAAGAGCAAACTTTAGATATTGGTCCCTAGATTATGTTCACCGAGTTTCATGCAGATTGGTCAAACTTCCTAGGAAGAGATCAATTTTAAGTGTTTTTCAAAAAATTCAAAATGGCGGAAAATCTATATAACTGGAAGTTATATAGTTGCAAATTTGTTCCTCACGAGGAGAGGCATCTCTGTGCAAAATTTCATGTCTCTACGACATACGGGGCATGACAAATACCCATTCAAAGTTTGCAATTTCAGTCGGTTGCTATAGCGCCCCCCTTTGGCCATTTGATGCTTCATTCGCATACCCTCTACCACTGTGCCAAATTTCACATGGATTGACCAAGTCAGTGAGGAGAAAAATGTGGAACAGACACACCTACACACAGACAGACAGACAGACAGACAGAGTTTTCGTCATTATATAGTAAGATTACATCTTGCCAGTGCTTCTTGTTATTACACTATCCCCTTTGCTACTATAACACTGCCAATTTCCCCACTGTGGGAATAACAAATGATTTTCTCATTAGAAAAGACCGTGAGTAGGGGCTTGTACAATAAGTAACATTACTGTCGTCATTCATAGCCAGCAGGTACCTCCTTGATTCATACGAAGGACAAATGTGGGCATAAAAAATGATAAAAATATATCATGTCATATAATACATGAGCATAAATATATTTTTCTACCATATGCACACACTGTGGCATAGATAGTATTTCGCACCTTCTAATCATTTATTGATTGATTGACTGTTTATGCCTTTATCCTGCCATGCTTTCATGTGTAACGTTATGCAATGTCAACATAATAACCTTAGCTAATAGCATTAGCCAACCTCAACTGGTCTGCAGCAGGTAAATCCACTACTGAAACGGCAGTTTTCTGTAGGAAAATAAGCTCTGGATTTTTTCTCCTCTTTGTAGTACTCATCCCTGTGGTCACTGCAGACCGACCTGCAAGTCTGCATAGGCAGCGTATGGACAGGAGTGTTAGAATCCATTTGTAGCACAATGAGCCAAAACTTTAGGGCGTCCATATCCAACAAAGTCTGTGACAGCTGTAGTGTAGCACCTCATTTTGTCATTACAGGTCGAAAATGCGCAAACACGAACAACCATAGACATTTTTCACTGCCTTTTTTTATCCTCTCTCTCTTCTCTTCTATACTTATACTCCGGCTCACATAAATACCAGTGGCAGTCAAATCCAAAGACTTCATCCACTTATTGAAATCAGGTAAATAATCATCCATGAAACTGAACTATGTTTACTGTAAACTACTCTGGTTAATACTCTCTCCAGAACTCACTCATGTTTCCACTGTTGTTTTCCTGTGACATCTAGTGATATTTTAGAAAGAGACTTCTCTTAACGAGGCAATAACAAACAGACCGGATCAAGTGAAAGGTAAAGAGACACTTCAGATCCTTATAATAACAATCTAAGCCACTCTGTGTCAAAAACAACCCCTTTTTATGGACATACAGTGACGATGTTCAGTTGCCCCGTGTCCCTCCATTGCAGCTCGTTCTCAGGGTGACGGCTGCTGCAGGTTCCCTCAATACTGGACAATTTTAAAAATACTGAGTCATCAGTCTCTTCGATCAATTTACACAGAAAAAAGGGTTCAGGTTGAAAATGCTGAAGTTACCCTTTAATGTATTTTTTTTCCTATTCTCTAAAAGACATCTTATAGCTCAACTTCTACACGTGCTTTAAGTCAAAACTGACATTTATGGTGCCAGTTTTTTTTTTTTAAATAAAGAAAAAGAGAAGGAAGAAGAAAAAGAAAAGGGATGTGAGCTCAACAATGTAGCTTTTGAGTAGGAGGTATTGTGCCCTGCATTATTAAAGGGCCAGTGTGTAAAATGGGTTGAAAACAGTGACATCAGTGGTCAAATTCTAGTTTGCATGGCTCACTCGCTCACCCCTCCCGTTGGGTAAATGACGGTGGCCTCGTAGGGTCAAAAAGCCTTGCGCAGGAGTTTTTCAGGAGTAGGTCTATCTAGTACGGAGCCCCTAAAGGGACATGGAAGGGAAAAAAATAGACGGTTGAAAAAAAAAAAAAAAGTACTTTTGCGAGATCTCGCAAAACATTTGCAATATCTCGCAAAACATTTGCAATATCTCGCAAAACTTTCCTTTAAGTAATGTACTTCCGGGTCAGTTTGGCCCATAGAGACTGCAAACAAACGCAACAATGGAGCGCATTCACCCGTGGGAGAGGCTCATAGAGTTTTATTTTGAGATTGGCCTCAAATATAAAGACATTAAATCAGTGCTCGCGAGTAAACACGGTTTTCATGTAAGTGAGAGACATCTGAAGCGACTACTTAATGCAGGAGGACACTTCTATGTATGTATGCAACTTCCGGTATGGACTTCCAGTATGTAGACACGAAGAAGATTAACTTCCGGTATGGACTTTGCGGCGCCCGCCGTCTTGTCTGCAGCTGGGTCCCTCTTGCAAATAGAGGGAGTCATGGAGGAGGATTTCGAAAAGTTTTTGCGGTCTAGAGAGGTCCCTCAAGCTGCCATCATGCACATGAAAAGAGACAAGGTGGGCATAGAATTCATTCAGTAACGTAATAAGTCAGCATAACAACACAGAGCTTGGAATAACGGTAGATACTAACTTGGGGAAAAGGGGAGTTAGCATTAATGTTACGCTAGCTGTAATGTTAGCGCTCTAACTTTAAGTTATGCCAGTCCAACAACCATATGTCGTTAGGGTTACAGATGTTGAATTTCGCTTTGCCTTATGTCAAGCTGTGTGTCGTTCTACGCCACAAAATTGGTTACCATGGTAACTGTGGACGCCATGGCAAGAAACACATATTGTAGAGGCTGTCTAAATGTACATGTTCAAAGTAAACATTTCAAGTATTCTAATATTTTCTGTTTGCAGGTTGACAAGGCAGTAATTTCCATTATGACTGATGAGCAAATGGCCAAATATATCACTTCATATGGTGACAGGGTAGCTGCCCTTTCCTTCTGTCAACAAACAATGTGCAACCTTGACAAAGAGACTCTTATACAAAGATTAAGAGATAAAATAGAAACTCGGAAAATGAGATCAAGGACAAAAGGTGTGCTGTGTGGTACATTAGGTGTGCTCCAAAAGCCAGGTGAGGGGATGGCAAGACAGAGAAATACTGCAGGAGAAAAGACTTCCAGGAAGATTGAAATTGGATGGCTTCATTTTCACAGTAATGAATACCATCAAGTGAGGACCAAAAATGGCGGAGGAACAAGACATGCAACTGTGGAAAAAACAACAACTGTTGCTCAGATTTTGGAGCTAGGAAAGGAGCTATTTTTCCCAAATGGGCACTCAACCAAAGGGCAAGCTGACGACTTTACCTTTGAGGTCTGTGATTTTAAAAGAAAGCATATTCCTTTTGATGAGTCTGTTGGCAGATTGTATGAACAAACCAAACTGAAGCTGCTTAGATTTTATATTTGCACAAAAGACTAAGGACTTTCAACAGATCAGTCTTCATCTGAAGTGGATGAATGTAGTGAAGATTTTTTATCTGAGGATTTATCTGTCAGCATCACTGAGGGAGCAGATTCACAGTTGACTGAGGATGGATCTCACCTTGATGCAGATGATTCGATTACAGATCTACTGGATCATGGACACTCATCTGACAGTGACATAAACGAACAGGTTTGTGGCAGTAGGAACAATATTTGTTGTTAAGTCATGACAGATGGAAGGAGATTTTGTTTGAAGATTACATTTCAGGTAATAACTTCATTAAAAGATAATGCACATGTATTTCATAAAACACAGAGTGAGATTGTTTGCCAACAATGGTAAACACCTATTTTCTCACCAGTAAGAAACATTTTTTTAATGAGAAATATCACCTGTATACCACTTTGCTGCCAATGTATGGGAATATGTAAGAATATCTAATAATATTGCTCATGTTGTATAGTTCCTAATAGGTTTTAGTGGAGCTTCTTTGAACCATATGTATTTTTTGCACACCATTTGATCTTAAATATGTTCCTCCATTCCATGATTTTAAATTACTGCTGACAATAATTTTGAAAATGTGTCTTTTATTTGTTGTAGAATATGCATTTCCAGTTGCAACCAAGCTCCAAAAAACAAAGAGCAGCTTCTGAGACTGTGACAGCACAAGGTCCAGGAAAATCACATCCCTCTCATTCAACCCCAACAGACATTAAAAAAACTCACATTGGCCAGGGGCAGGACACCAACACAAGTGATCATGATGAAGTCTGGAATCATCTCCAGCCTTTTAATGATTTCCCTGACTCCTGCTTTGAAATTATTGACCTGACCAGAGCAGTCCCTAATGCCTCTCCACAAACAGAGCCTGACCACATCTGTCGCATTACTTTTGAAGAGGTTCCAGAAGTAGACAGTTGTATGGGATCCGGAAGAGGACCTTGGCAGAGCAGATGGAGATGAGACAGTTGTGATCACATTGGATAACGTCAACAGTGAGGATGTCACACAGGTAATGATAATGTGATAAGATCAGGAACTTTTTGGGGTAAGGAGGTAGAAATACTAATACAGGTGTTTAAACCAGTAGAAAGAGTGGAATGTACTGCTACTTAAAGTCAGTAAAGTATTTTCTTTCTTTTTTTTTTCAAATTTGATTGTATGAAACAATTCAACTGTCCATCCCGACTCCAAAAAAATTAACTATGTCCTATTTTTTATGGCATATGCACTGTTATGTTCCCACACAAATGAAATGGCCTACAGTGCTGTGAAACACTTACTGTACCGACTGTAATCTTAGTTCACGCCTTGTTTATTTAGACCTTCATTTTGCTACAACAATAATTAACATCACATTGCTTATGCTACTACTTATATGCTGCTACTTCAGAACAATTTTAATAGCAAAAAATCAAAATAATAGCTGATGAAAACCTGAGGAATTCCTCTGTAAGTTATCATTTTACTCTCTTAAGTCAGGCATGTTTGCTTCCACACAATCTCAAAATTCTCCCTTTTTATATCAAATTTCTATATCAAAATATTTTTCCCAAACTTCTATTTCTAATGTATAGTGCTATGTCATGCACAACTTGTCTTAAAAACAAATAAGTCAACAGAGTCCCTTTGAATTGATTCCTGAGATTGTGCAGCAGCACAAATAAACATTGATTTGTGACTTTATGATGCTTTTCTGTTTCTGTAATTTTAGAGGTTTTTGTCTTCTTTTCCATTTCCCAAAATGTATTTGGATTTTTTATGACTATCTCATGGGTGTTCCTGGTTTTAACTAGAAGATAGGATGATGTAGAAGACTAATTTAGAAAGACTTTTATAAATTACAGTCTGCAATCGCATCATAGACTTTAGGGTCAAAATGTCTCCTGTCATTTAATACATTATGTTTCATTCTTCAGAGTGCTGAGATGAATGGAGTGACTATGCAGGCTTTCCAACTCCCATTGCCCTCAGCTAATGACCTGCCTACACTAGCTGTGCAGTCCATACATGGGGAGGCAGTGCAAACTGCACAGGTAAGATGCATCACTGCAAGCAACCCTGAACACATCCTCTAAACTACTGTATGATTTTACATAACTGTTTGGATGTGATATGATGGAGCCTTTGAGCATACCATTTTCTGAAGGTGTGGTAGGTCAGTCTACTCTAGTGCTCAGCTTTTAAAAACATTTGTTTAATGTCCCGTGAGGCTCTGGAGGAGCGCTGATGGGTCTGAAAAAGTAACTGTGATGATGTATATTGAAGTTACCTTGTCTTGGGATTGGAGACAACAATTTTTCAATAGAAAGCCTATGTTGTAAACTGGAGGTGTGCAGTTTGAAAGAAGGTCTCATGGGTGGTTGGGGAGTTTGAGTTGCATTATGGGAAACATAGGATGCAGTATTATTTTGACCTTCACACAAACGTACTAAAAGTTAGGATATTTTCACCTCTGCTTCATTG